CGGCATAGTGCCTCCGCGCGCCATTCGTGCAGGCGTGCGAGGACTACCGCCTCCAGATCCCATGGCGGCAATCCGGCAAGGAGGCTCGCCGCCTCGCGGGAGATCGTGCGGTAGCCGCGAACCATTTTCACGGCGACCACCCTTTGGGGCGCGTTCAGGTGGTGGACGGCAAGCCGCGCCAAACCACGCGCCCACACCGGGACCCCGTAAAGGGCCATGGATCGCACGATCCCCACGTAGAGGCAGGAGGCGTTTGGCCCCCCCAGGTTCGGCAGGAGTCGCCTGAAGGCAGCCCCGGTCCGTTGCAGTTTGGGAGTCAAACGTCGGAAGTGCTCAACGACGTTCCATCGGCCGTCGAGGACGAGTCCTAGGTACTTCAGTGTCGACTCGACGCCGATGGATACCCCTCCTACCATTACTGAGGATCCCGGTGGTGGCCTGTTCCGAGGACCATGGAAGTGCATGGCCTCAGACTTGTGTAGAGCCACCTCGAGACCCAGTTGCCGAATCCTCTCAACGACTATCGCAACCCCGCGTGTCATAGTTTCCGCCGCCGCCTCGTACGACCCCCCTTGTGCCAGTACCAGTGTGTCGTCAGCGTAGCAAATTACGCTGACGCCGGTAGGGAGGTCGGCGCGCAGCACCCAGTCATAACCGATGTTCCACAGAGGTGGCCCCAGAACCGAACCCTATGGGACACCGCACGACATCTCTCGCCGGTTCCATTCACCGTTGCGACCGGGGTAGATGACGGTCCTGTCCGTCTGATAGTCCCCGACTATACGACGGAGATAGGTCGGCACCCAGTGATACCGGAGTGCCTCCCTAATGCAGCTCCAGGGCATGGAGTTGAAGGCGTTGGCGATGTTGAGAGACACCGCCAAGACAACCCCCCTCTGGCCACTGCATCCCCCGTCGTGAGGGCTCTCACGCGCATGATGGCGTCCACCGTAGAGCGCCTCTTGCGGAAACCAAACTGGTGTTCCGCAAGATCCGGCCCCGTCCCCGCAAGGTGCTCGGCGAGGCGGTTTGCAATGACTCTTTCAAAGAGCTTGCCCACCTCGTCGAGCAGCACCACGGGCCGGTATGCGGACGGAGAGGCAGGGCGCCCCGGCTTCCGAATGAGGACCAGCTTCCCCGTCTTCCAACGAAGCGGGAATTGGCCCTCTTTCCAAGCATACGCTTAGGGGCCCCTCCAGTCGGGGCCCGAGAGCCTCCGAGGCCAGGACCCAGGCTTTTCCAGGCAAGCCATCGGGTCCTGGGGCGGTATTCCTGGCCTTGAGCCTACGTACCGCCACTCTCAGGTCTACCCCGGTCCCTTCCGGGATGTCGTCGTCGTCGTCCTGGTGGTCCGCTTCCGGCACCGCAGGTGGCAAGCCATAGGCGGGGGCGGATGTTCCCCTCGCGCAGGGAACAGAGCGCTCACCACGTCCTCCACGAGCTGGGGCCTGAGACTCTGCGTCAGCGGGGGGCCCAGGTGCGGAGTTTATCCCGCACCATCTTGTAAGGGCGCCCCCACGGATCTCTGTCGAGAGTCTCCAGCATCTCCTCACGGGCCCGATCCCGGGCCTGCAGGACAGCCTCCCGGAGGGCGGTCTTCGCCGCTCTATATCCCTCGTACAGCTCCGCCTCAATGGCTGCCGTGTTCGGTGGACGAATGCGGAGACTGCGATGCCTGGCGTACAGGTGCCGCGCGGCGACACACGCCTCGCGCAGAGACGTCAGCTCGCGCGACCACCAATACACCTGACGCCGGGCGCTTCCTGGCCGGACGCGGGGCATTGCCACGTCACATATCTCGGACATGGCCTCCTGGAACCACCCTGCCTCATCATTGACGTCAGCAGGCCTGTCCGGGGATGACACCCAGGCCTGCACGATCGAGGCTTCCAGGAGGAGCTCCCGGTCCAGCTGCTTCAGTGCCCAACGCGGACCACTCGGGGCCTGTTGGACTGGCGCGCTCGAGGGCTGGTTGGAGACGTCAAACCGGATGTACCGGTGGTCGGAGTAGGTCTCCACCCCCTCCATGACACGCCAGTCAATGGCACGTGGCGACAGAGCGGGGCTAGCGAACGAGATGTCCACCACCGACTCGCCCCGCATCCGCACACACGTGGGGACAGAACCCCGATTTAGGACGACCAGGCCTGTCTCCAGAGCCCAGTCTTCCACCATCCTACCCCGCACATCTGTGCGACGAGAACCCCAAGCCAAGTTCTTGGCATTGAAGTCTCCGAGGACAAGTACGGGGAGGGGGATAACTTCCGACGACGACTGCTCTCAGCTCTGCAAGAGAGTTGTGGAGCTCGGCGAGGGATCGGTTCGGGGAAGGCCCATCAGCATCCTGAAGGCATTATTATATTGGACGCGAAGTGCATTATAGGCCCTTTGCGTATAGCTATACTACAGGCTGCAGGTGTAAAAGGTTTGGCAGTAAGCCTTGAAAAGAGTAATTTTGACTTCTCTAGCACACCTAGCAAACATGCGGGGAACGGGCAACCATATTGCATCGAACCGCCAATGCCCTCCGCTCCCTCTCTATATCACAGTTGTCTGTGAGATTCTCTGTAATAATGTGTCCTAAATATTTTAACTGTGACACCCTACTTAATGGCACCCCAAGGAGCTTGACTGGAGGCACAACCTGGGGTTTTTAGCACCAACTTGAAATACCATTAACTCACTCTTTTTGGTGTTATAGAGGAAACAGTTTTTAGCAGCGTATACTTCACAGACAGCCAACAGCTTACGCAATGCGCTCACCGATGGACTCCATGTCATCAGCACAGCTAATACTATTAACCATTTGTCCGTCAATGGAACAGCCTATCCTGGTGCTACTGAGTGAACCACTGAGCCCGTCAACGTAGAGGCTGAATAGCAAAGGCGAGGATAACCCCCTCTGCCTCACCCCGCATTCCAAAATGTATTCGTTAGATAGCGCACCAGACCATTTGACCTGGTTAACTTGATGGCCATACCAATATTTCAACGTGGTGATTAATTCATTTGGAACAACTATGTCGCGTAATTTTGACCAAAGCAGATCATAGTCAACCTGGTCAAATGCCTTTGAGAGATCCAGAAAAGCAGCATACACTGGCGTTTGTCTCTGTGTGTAGTATTTGACGGTATGCTTCAGCGACAGTATAGCACTCTCTGTTGATAGGCCAGGTCGAAAGCTAAACTGCGCATCATTTTATTGTATTGTACTTCTGCTTCTTTCCGTAATACTGCCTCTAATTTAAAATGGTCCTTAAATAGATTAGCTATCTGTTTTGGGTCACATAATCCACCCACACTTACAGAAACAGCCGGCTAAGGACCTAGCTTTTTTGTGTGTTTCCAGAACTTTCCGAAATATTTTGCTTTGTGTTGGGAAGCCAAAATGTCTAATTTTATTTGTTCCTGATTTTTTTGACAAGATTTTAATTTTGATTTAAAAAATTTACGTGACTCACACATATACTGATATAGACGACCGGTTCTTGGCCGACCATGCCAGACCCAATTAAGAAAAGCCTGCCTAGCTGTCTCATGCGCACCCTTCACAAACTTGTTCCAGCCAGCAACATAACGCTTCTTCTTTTTAATATTCGGTGCATCACAACTAAACTCAGCAGCCTCCCCTAAGCACGTTTAAAATTTTATTGTAAAGATTATTAATGACCATTCTGTGCTCAATATTAGAATTTTATCACAACATGCGCTTAACTCCTCGGGAAAGTCAATATCACGTAATAATTCTGCACACTTCCTACGGTATGACTTTACCTGATACTGATCTCTCTCCCCCCAAATAACCTTATTTGTACCTTGGCTTTCTAAAAGAGTAGGTATAGTTGGCCTAATCGTACCTAGATTAATTTGTAGGACCAGTGGATGATGGTCTGATCGGTAGACGTCATAGTAAATGTCAACACTATCTACAGACTACCAAACCGCATCGGTTACCAGGCAATGATCCAGCCAGCTCGTAGTGCCGTATGCATCACTAACGAAAGTATACGTGCCTGAATCCACCCCCAGTTTACAAATATCCGCGCAATACCACTTCTGATCCATACAAAACTTTTGCATCTCTTTACCAAATAACTTCATAGGATCTGCATTAAAATCACCTAGTATAAATATAGACTCTAAATTACAACTTTCTACTATCGCTGCCATTTCGCTCATATATTCACAAAACTCAGCTAAATTATCGTAACTATTAGTGGGCATATATATACCACATAACTAAAATTGATCTATCCGCCAAATCTATTCTTACAGCCACGATTCGATTATTACTACAATGCACCACAGACACGGTATTAAAGATAGACTTTCTCCATAGGAGAGCAACCCCCCCCATCTCGTATGGACGGCCTCGTACTAGGTTAGTTGCGTCCATAGAAGACTTTCCATAATAACCAAAGTCTTCGTCAATATCACCCAGCATTGGTATTTCCGTAGGGAATAGCCATGTCTCCTGCAATGCTATAATATCTGCAGTTTTACAGAGAGTTCGAATACATTCAATAGATCTATCCACATTTTTACAATTAAAACTAATAAATTTAGAAACCAGGTTGGTATTATTATTATTATACGATTTTAAATTATTCATATTATAATATTTAATTGTTAATTTAGCTCCTCGGTTTTTTATTAAAACTTACAAACTTGCGAAAAGCTACACCTGTTGGCCACAGGTTCTCATTCATAAATATAGACAATTTATTACCTTAGGGATTAGAAATTAATAAGCTACATAATCTTTTTTCAATTTCATATCTATCTTTTGTAACAATACATCAACCCCTGTTTTGCTCTTACTACTACTTACTACTTACTAACGAGTGATATCATTAGCAGAAGATTCCACATCTAATGTAGAACGTACGTACGTAATTTACCTCTGCTGTCTTAAACTTACATTCAGGACTCAACTCAGCTTTCCCTTTCATACCAATAAATCTATTCCGAAGACGTTTGCGTTGAACTAAAATCCATTATCAATCCTCCTTAGATTTCTCTGGTTTCCAATTTCCGTGTCGTACTACATCTGCTATTAGTTTACGCTCGCCTTTCGCAGTAACGGCCGCCGCTGCGATGACTAATTTACTATCACTCATCGAAACCGCGGTGCCGGAGTGATGCACAGGCGTGGCTGTAGCCGCGTCGTTGGTCTCCGATCCCGTCGAAACTGCAGTAGGGGCCACCACGCGCTTTGATCCTTCACTTGTCGAGTCCGTCTTGCCGTGCGTCAAGGACGTTTGCACGAACGAAACAACTGAGTCATTGGCAATATCAACAGGTGTGTTTACCGCCGCAGTTTTTTCATTAATTTCATTATTTTGTGCGATGTTACCCTGATTTATAGATCGGTACTCTTCAGTAGATATGTGCGGTAGTCCTATGGGGCCGCTCTCGTAATCAAAACTTTCCATAAAAGCACCTCTCCTGTAGTTTACATTTATATTATGATGATTCTGTGTATTAAACATATATTTTGTGGCGTATGTCTCTTTTATGTAATGATGATGATGATGTGTTTGTATATATTCGAATAACGTAACAGCCTATTAAATTTCACTGCTGATAGATTTGCCATAGTATTAAACGCTTGGCAAGCGAGTTGGCTACTTTAGTTTTTATTTTTAGTCGTCATTAGGGCGAGACGCTGCCCATCTTTTGATTTATTTCCTCTGTTGTCTATTACGACACCCCACGGAATATGGGGTAGTAGATATTCTTACACCGTCACTTTTTATTGTTAGTAAAATATATATTAGGTACCTAATTATCATTTTTTATTTTGTTTTTTATTCTATATTGCTACACCGACACGAAATTCTCACCACTCCTTGCGTTGATTGGTAGAAATTGCCTCAAGGCATCTTTGTATTCCAGTCAGCTCTTTGTATTCCTTTTTATTTATTAAATGCACTAAATAATTAATAAATAAGGCAGGAGGAATTACAAACCATACTAAGAATACTCAACGACTGCTTCAAGTAGTTCCCTGTAATTATGGTGATTTAAGCATTACTGATAGACCATTTATTTGCCGTACTGAGCATGGCCGAAAAGACATCTACATTATTTACTTTTGGTTCCTGTCATCTTAGAAAGTCAAAAAAGTATACAACGTATTAGGTCCGGTTGCAGGTGTAACTGTAACATTATAAAATAATTCTATCCTTATTGAAAACTGTTTGCTCGGTGGTAAACCAAAACATTGTGATACATTGTGATACTTGTGTGATAAATTAAGGAAAATTGATTGCTTATAAAACACTGTTCAATATCGCTTAAAATAACGCTTAAAATATCATCAGTAATGCTTAAAATACGTGTAAACTTAGCGGCCTTTTTAGATTAATATATCCATATTTAATACAGGAACATACGTTAAGTTATCAAACATTTAAAGTTAAACAAAACACATATCGAAAGCGGAGCAGAATTTTTAAAATAAAACGAACATATTCACAAGAATTTTTATATTAAATATATAAGTATCCATTAGTATATCAAAGACCTAAATATCGAAGTCTTCAATATATTCTGTAGACAAAAATGTCTATATTATTTACGTGGTTGATATTCGATCATTCAATTTCAGATAAAGAACTAAGTTCTTTTTTTTTATAGTAATAATTAATGATTGAGAAAACACTGGCTTACCGAATAACATTACATGACTGAAGACATCTTGACTAAGAAAAATGCTTTCAAGACTTATTTGGGGTAAGACTTGTTGTTATATTAGGACATATTTGAAATTTGTTTTTCCTGTACCTTTACCAAAACTCGTGAGATTGTCCATTGATTCTCATACCATTTATGAGATATATTTACCTTAAATATTCATTTACGTTGTGGAAATAATTGAAGAAAACTGTTATCAAATGATGATCCGACGGCGTTGATACGCATAAGATATACAAATAAGAAGTTGATCAATTGTGGCTATTGTCAGATGAAGTAAATGAGATGGAAGAATTACTGTAAGCAATGATATCTATCTAAAGAAAGGCTTCCAAATAATCACCTCCGTCTTTTCACGGCTGAGAGACAAGACAGAACGATTGATAATAATTGAACAGGATATGGCAATAAAACTTTCGTCTCAATTAGGCTTGCCATTGCCTTAATGAAGTCTATTAATCTTCCGCTCACCAGATGTCGCTAGTTGACACTGAGATAAAGTTTTTTGTTACATAATCTCATTTATTTGAGAAGTTAGTTTTAAATAAAATTTTATCAGTTTCTAGAATATTAAATTATGCTCTTTAATTTCTTGCACAGTTTAGAAATCTTTTCTATTCTTATGAGTATCCGTGTGAATTAATACAAAAACCATTTATCGTAAAATTTAACTTGCTCGCTGTGAAATCTGTCAAATATCACACCTAATTATAAGTGGCGGCATCCTGATGCCGATCATTGCCGATATGTAACAAAAATTGGCGTGTCTCGTATAGAGTAAAGTAAATCCTCTTTACAACGTAAGAGGCCATTGTTATACAAAGTAGTTGACTTTAACGGACAAATAAAATAACTTGTTTTTTTTAACTTCCCGCTAAGAAAATTGAAAATTTTCGAAAATCGGAAAGCTATTGTTTTTACCCCGTTTTTCGAAAATTGAGTTTTCATCAAATCTTGACGTTTTGAGGTAACAGGAAGCCACACTAAACTTTTTAAGCAGCCAATTACCATCTAGCTCTAGCTTACTATGAGTTCATTGAAACCGTTAGTCCTGTGCTTGATCTCTCTCCGATCGCTACAGATTGTTATTCCAAAAGACTATAAGCGTGAGAGAAAAGAGTGTGCACCTGTGTTTTCACACACAATTGTGTATCTTCCCGTACTGCCCAGATGGTTAGTCTCCATGAAGACTGGCTGCAGTGACCGAATTTTTTTTCTGGAGGACATGATTTATTACGTTACTACTACAAAACTTGACATTGTTTTTGATTTTTTGTTAGGGTAAAAGCTTCACCGATACAGCGCTAACGTGTGTTCCTTTTTTAGCTAACAGTGTAAACGGATTGTAAAGAAATATTATTTGTTTGACGTGTATTTTATAGATATAATTCTACACAAAACATTGTTAATGCCACACTGAGATTTTTTATATCATGGAGCCAGTTTATGTAATTAAGTTGCACAAGGAAAATTAAGACCCGGGACAATTATTTTAGGCCTTATAAATGCTTGTTTCGTGTGGGATTCAAAACCACGGTCCTCACCGCCACACTTTAATAATAAGCCACTGTACCACGGAGTCGTCGTTTTTGTTAAAATGATTGTATGATACACAAACTAAGAAACTTAACATGTACTTTAGACTACAGTTTAGTGTTATTTTTTACAATTCTCTAAGTCTCCAGGTAACTGTATGTTAATATACACAGGGATGCAACGATCCGAGAGCAGTAGATTAGTACCAAGTACTAGAACCAAGTGTGGCAGCATCGTTTCCGGGACACCTGAGATTTTGAGTGAGATTGAGAGGTTCTATGGGCAGTTGTACACTTCATCGTTGGAGCCACACGCAAGTGTGAATAACGATCTAAGAGCAAGTCTTATCCGACACTATTCTCTCCTCTCCTCACTCTTCAGCACGTTAAAAACGGCAGGGCCCCAGGCGAGGATGGAATTACAGCGGAGCTTCTGAAAGCGGGTGAAACACCGGTATTTGAAGTCTTTCAGAAGCTCTTCAATTCCGTCCTTCATGGTGGCACTACTCCAGAGGCGTGGAGCAGAAGTGCGGTGGTCTTGTTCTTTAAGAAAGGCGACAACGCTCTCTTAAAGAACTACAGACCGATTTCCCTTCTGAGCCGCGTCTACGTGCTGTTTTCGAGAGTCGTTACGAATCGTCTCGCACGCAGACTCGACGACTTCCAGCCTCCCGAACAAGCCGGTTTCCGAAAAGGCTTCAGTGCCATAGACCACATATATACCCTGCGGCAGTTTGTACAGAAGACTGAAGAGTACAATCTGCCACTTTTCCTGGCGTATGTGGACTGTGAGAAAGCCTTTGATTCCGTCGAAATTTGGGCGGCGCTACAGTCCCTTCAGCGGTGCCAAGTTGACTGTCGGTATATCGAAGTGCTGAAGTGTTTATACATTAGGGCTACGATGGCTATCCGAGTACAGAACCAGAGCTCGAAACCTATCCAACTACAGAGAGGTGTAAGATTGTTTGTGGTTAAGGATACGGTATTAACATCAATGGCGAGTACATCACTCACCTTCGATTTGCCAACGATATAGTCCCTATGGCAGAATCGCTAGAGGACCTTAGCGCTATGCTCAATGACCTTAATGGTGTCTCCCAACAGATAGGTCTTAAGATGAACATGGACAAAACAAAGATCATGTTTAATGTCCATGTCACACCTATGCCGGTAGTTGTTGGGAGCACTATGCTCGAAGTTGTTGACGAGTACGTTTACCTAGGACAAATACTCCGACTAGGTAAGTCCAACTTCGACCGAGAGGTCAATCGACGGATTCAACTCGGCTGGGCAGCGTTCGGGAAATTACGACACATCTTCTCGTCAGGTATACCTCAATCTCTAAAAACTAGATTGTACAACCAGTGCGTGTTGCTAGTGATGACTTACGGATCTGAGACGTGGTCCTTCACTGCTGGCCGTATGAGGACGCTCAAGGTCGCTCAGCGAGCTATGGAGAGGGCTATGCTCGGAGTTTCTCTGCGTGATAGACTCAGAAATGAGGATATCCGCAGTATAACCAGAGTGACCGACATAGCCCAACGGATTAGTAAGCTGAAGTGGCAATGGGCCGGCCATATAGCTCGAAGAACCGATACGGGGGAAGAAAGGTTCTTGAGTGGCAGCCTCGTACCGGTAGGCGTAGTGTAGGGCGACCCCCCACTAGATGGAGTGACGACCTGGTAAGATATGCAGGAAGTCGATGGATGCAGGTGGCTCAGGACCGTGCTTTGTGGCATTACTTGGGGGAGGCCTATGTTCAGCAGTGGACTTGTGAAGGGCTGTAATGATGATGACTAGTACCAAGGACCTCAGCAATATTACTAGTTAGGAAGCCTAATTAATTTACTGACTCCATCATCAAACCACCAGACGCTAGGCCGTTCTCCGCCTCTCTGTTGATTAGATACTTTGCTTTCTTGTGGGTCTATAATAGTGTTTTTTGGGCAACTAGTTTATTATCGGAAAACCACTATAAATAGTTTTTGCTATTTTCTCAAAAACTAAATGTATGCATTATGAGAAAAGGTACGTTTACGTAAAAATTAAAAATCTTTTAGTTTCACGTTAACATATCTTATAACCTATTCTTTTAAACCTAATTAATACACATAGATTTTTTAAAATTGTGTTAAATTAAAACAATGTTTAAAATCAATTTTACATATAATCTTTAAGAGATAGGAGAAAAGTGTGAGATC